ATACCTGAGGGCCAGTACTGCTCAAGGACAGGCAGTTAACACACTCTGGACTAGATGAGCTGACCCCTCCCCCCCCCCCCCCCCGCAACACACACACACACACACACACGTACACACACACAGACACACTGGTTTTGTGTGAGAGCCTAGTTTTGGGAGACACCTGGAAGTCAAGATGCTAAGTGAGAAGCAGGGTGAAACACCCACATGTCAACTTGCCAGATAGGGTGACTGGAACCCGGGGTCTGCATTTGGACCCCAGGACCACTGAGCAAGCCTCTGTTCCTTCACCTGATAGGTGTGATGACCCAACTTTAGTTTCTGAGCTGGGGTGCAAAACAGCTGCAGGCAAACAGCCCACGTGTGGTGGTCAGACAATGGGCATCCCTTGCCGAGGGCAGGGAGGGACTTTGGGGTGTATGCAGCCGCTTGGCTTAAAAGGCAGGGGATGCCCTCCAGCTGCCCTGTTCATAGACACCCTGCCCATTCTCTCAAGGACTTGTCTCCAGCACACAGCCTGGGGAGCTTGCTGAGGGGGTGCTAGATGGTATCTGGACCTTTCCCAAGAGTCCAGTGGTCTTGGCCCATTGCCCTTGAGACCCCTTTGACTGGATCCGTTCAGATAGCCGGCTACTGATATGGATGCTGATGCTTCTGAGCTTAACTCTACCAAAGGCCTTTCTCTAGCACACCCCGAGGGCCCATGCACACCCCCAGACATCAGGACCACAGATTTTCTGACCAAGGACCACCTTCAGGGTCTCAGTTATTTATTTATTTATTTAAATAAAATGTGCCTTAAGACTCATTTCATGGAATTCCATGGTCACATTGACTCTCTTCCATCTTGAATCTAATCTTTGATGTGGCCTTAAAAAATACGGGGCCACCAGAGATGTGGTTCAGGGACTAAAGCATATCCCTTGCACTTGTGAATGTCTCAGTTCTATCCCCAGCCCTCAGAAACAAAACCCCAAAACTAACAACAACAACAACAACAAAAGCCCCAACAAGACGTTCGGAGCAGGCGCTCTGAGCCACGCAGGGAAAGCCTCTGTGTTCTCTGTTCCCCATCCTGTGTGTTGCTGTGCTTCCTTCCTGCCTTCCCCAGGGGTCCTGCGCTCGTGGGTGGTGGCAGGAATCAAGCATTCTGAGGAGGGGGGTGGCCCCATCCTGCAGCCTGCATGGAGGGTGCTGATCACACACTGATGTATTCCAAACACACAGGCACAGTTGCATCCCTGACCGGGACAGAAGGCTGAGGTCACTAATCCACGGGAAATGGAGCCCAGTGCTAAATGAAGCTTTGGAGCAACAGGAGTAGGTCCTTGGCCCTCAGCAGGGGATGGGGGGCTCCCCCCCACTGAAAGCACAAGGTGATCTGGAAGAACTCAATTTACACCCTTGGCTCCCGCGGGCTGGGGGATCAGCAGAGGGCGGGATAATCCCAGCTTCTCGAGCAGATGGTTCCTGACTACCGCTTGACCCAGTTCCCGCCCAGCAGATGACTGGCAGCGGGGTGGACTTCACCAGGGGAGCGAAATGTGGACCCTCCTCTCCATTCCTCTTCCTCCCTCCTACCATCCAGGATGTGTGACTTCTACCTCTCCCAGGGGTGCCAGGCCAACAGGCAAGATGATGTCCCTTCCCAGTGCTCTGCCCACTGCTGGCCCCATCCAGCCCAGGTGGGGTTCATGGCAGTAGGAAGGGCAGGCAGGGCTCACTCCGGCAAAGGCTTGAGCTGTGTGGTCTTAAGTCTTCACTGTCTTCCTGAGTTCTCTCACTCACCCATTCATTCCGTCAACAAAGCATTGACCCCGGCCTTCATCCTCTGCCAGGTCTGTTGTGGGAGGGGGTGGGGAGGCACTCAGTTAAAGGGAGGAGATGTGCCCCAAAGTGCACGAGAGGGTCAGAGCCAGTGGCCCCAAGGGGAAGCTGGGCGGGGTCCTTAAGACGAAGAAGTCTGCCAAGTAGCTGGGGAACATGAGGATGGTCTTCCAAGTCAGAGGACCAGGGCACATCGGGCCAGCTTGACTTGGGAGTCACTGGACAGAAAGTTATGAGTTGGCAGAAGCACCCACCACCTTCCTGCCCACGGGTCTGACTCTGGGACTCGGCAGAAGGTGGAAATTTGAGGGCAAAGAGAACTGTATTTGGAAAAAAAAGAAAAGCGGGCACTGGAAAAGACCCTTACAGGCAGAAGGACCCGTAAACTTGAGCCAGGACCTCTCCAGTCTCACGCCCAGGGTTCCCTATTTCTGAATTCAGGGTGACAAACTCAGAGCCAGTTCGCGCCGCCAAGAGCGGGCAGGGCACTTTTGGGTCGTTTCCTCCGATCGGGAGGGAGGGGGCGCTCGGCCTCCAGGCTTGCCAGGCTCACGCGGCTGACTGAGGTCTGCGCTGACTTCCACCGACGCAGAGTTGGCCAGAGCAGCGCGTGATGGGGGTGGGGTGTGTGTGTGTGTGTGTGTGTGTGTGTGTGTGTGTGTGTCTTGCACATACCAGGGGGCTAGGGGGTGGACCCGGAGTTGAAGTCCACTCTGTGTCTCTAGCCCCTAAGAGTTCTCCAAGAGCCTGGGCAAGAGCAGCGGGTGGCTGCCTCCAGGCCCGCCTGTTGCAAGCTACCGCCGCAGTGGGCGGGGGTCTGGGAGCGCTGAAGCGGGCTAAGTTCCCAGCCCCGAGTACCGTGCCTGCGGCAGAGTTGTCAGTGTCCTATCCAGATAAGGGCGTGAGAAGGGACTGAAGAAACGATTGCACTTGGAGTTCTGGAAGGCAAGAGCGGAGCAGGACGCTCAGTTGGCAGTGTCCCTGGAGGTCTAAGAACCATCTCTCGCCGGATTCCCGGGGAAGCCTGGCCCAGTGGTTCCGCTGCCCCCATCCCCGCCAGCCCTTGCGAATTAGGTCTTACTGTCCCTCCGCCCCCCTCCCCCCCACCCGCCAACATACACCGTTTTACGTATGAGATGGGAGAGAGAGTGAAACTGCCCAAGCTCTCCTATACAAAGCTGGCAGGAGCTGAACCCCGGGTTTGTGTTAAGCCAACTGGGGCGGGGTGGGGGAGGGGAGACACAGAAGACCCCGCTGGGCTTGCCCGTCCCTGGATATTGGAGACTCGAGGGGTGTGTGTGTGTACGGGGTGGGGGGGATGCAAAGCTGTTTTTTTTCCTTGCACGACTGGGTTCCTCCGTGCTCCGAGCTCGAGGAAGCAACGGGTCAGCTCTCCCGCGGCCGCGCGCCGGCCCTTCTGGGTTCGCGGGGCCCACGCCTCGACCCGCGCGCGGGTGCTAGTGGCGGCGACGGTGGCGGCGCCGGCCCGGGGCGCGCGGCGAGGGCGCTGCAGCCTGCGGAGCCGCATCCAACCGGCGACTCAGCCCGCGGCCGCCCCCGCCGCCCCCGGGAGCGAGCGCCCCGAGCGGGCGGGGGGCGGCGGCGCCCGGAGTCTCCTCTCGGGAGGCGCGGAGGCGGGCAGCGGCCGGGCAGGAGCGCAGGGCCCCGCGCGGGCTCGGGGCAGGGGGCCGGCTGCGCGAGGATTCCGGGCCGCCACCCCGCTGGGTGAGGGTCCCGGCGCCCACGTGGTGGGAAAGTTTCGAGACAGCAAAAGTGGCCGGGAACGGCTGGCGGGTGTGTCGAAGTGTGTATGTTGGGGGGGGGTGGAAAGCGGGCGGCCTCGCCCCTCCTTCTAGAGAAGGCGCAAGGGGGAGAGGAAAAAAAAGAGGCGGAGGGAAGCGGGGTGGGCGGGGGGAACGGGCAGCACCGACCTGCACAGATTCCGCCGCCCCTTCCCCCCCCGCCCCGCACCCCTCCACCCACTGCCCCCACCCCTCCCCCTCCCCGGGAAGCGGAGGCCGGGAGGCACGGACACTCTGCTCCGCACGGCCAGGACGAGACTCGCGCACCCCCCACCTTCTTTCCCTGCCAGCGTCTATCTCCACGCGCGCGCACAGACGGAGATTGTGCGGCTTCTTTCCCCCGGGGGAGAACAAACGCGCAGAGTAAGAGAAGAGAGGGCAAAGCGGAGAACTCCTCGGCGGGCTCCGCACCCGAGCGAGCGCAGGGACGCGGCCAGCACCCGCCCGCTCCGCGCCGGCCCTGCGGCGGGTGCCAGTGCGAGAGAGAGAGAGAGAGAGAGAGAGAGGAGCGAGAGAGCGCGCGCGGGCAGCCGCTCCGCGGGGACGCTGCGAGACTTCGGGGGGCGACATCGCCGCCGCCCAGCGCCGCGGCACGCAGGAGAGACCGGGCCGGAGAAGGGCCCTGCCGGCACCCCGCGCCCCCAGCCGGGCGGAGGGAGGGCCCCGGCGAGGAGGCGGGCGGAGCAGAGGCCCCCGCGGAGCGCGCCGCGGCCGGCCGGCCGTGGATGCGGCGCCCCGGGAGCCTGGAGACAACTTTGCCGGGTGACGCGCCGGGAGGACTGCAGGGCCCGCCGCTGGGGACGCCGCGCCGCTCCTGAGCGGACTCGCGCGGCCGGCGCTCTCCCCGGCGCTGGTGCGCCCCTCGCTCCACTCGCCGCCGGCCCGGGCCCAGAGGACGACCCTCCGTCGCCGCCCCGCCGCCCCCGCCCCGCGCGCCGGCCCCGCTCCCCGCGCGAGGCGACGAGTCGGTCGGGCGAGCGCTCAGGTGCGAGCGCGGGCCCCGCCGCAGCGCCCGCCGCAGCGCCGCGCCAAGCCGCGCCCGGTTCCGCTCCGGGGGCTCCAGCGCCTTCGCTCCCTCTCGGCCAAGTTGCGCCGACCGGCTCTTTCGCCACCTTCCCCGGCCGGGCGGGCGCGGCCGCCGCTTTCGCTTCCCCAGCGGGGGCTGCGGGCCCCGACGCGGAGGGGATGGGCGGGAAGCAGCCGATGCCCGGGCGCCCCGTGACGCCCGCGCGGCAGTGACCCGCCGACCCCCGCCTCGGCCCGCGCGCGCGCGCCTCTCCGGCCCCGGGAGACCCCGGCGTCCCTGCCCCGGCGCGGCCCGGCCGGCCCCCTCCCCCTGCGAGCCGGCGGCGGCCCTCCCGGCGGGCGGGCGGAGGCCCGGGCGGGCGGGGGCGGGGCGGGGCGGCGCGCGGGGAGCCCGGAGCCCGGCCCTGCGCTCGGCTCGCTCGCCTCGCGGCGGGCGCCCTCGTCGCCGGCGGCGCACCATGGACGGGCTGCCCGGGAGGGCGCTGGGGGCCGCCTGCCTGCTGCTGCTGGCGGCCGGCTGGCTGGGGCCCGAGGCCTGGGGCTCGCCCACGCCCCCGCCCTCGCCGGCCGCGCCGCCGCCCCCGCCGCCCCCGCCGCCCGCAGCCCCGGGAGGCTCGCCGGACACCTGCACGTCGTGCGGCGGCTTCCGGCGGCCCGAGGAGCCGGGCCGGGTGGACGGCGACTTCCTGGAGGCGGTGAAGCGGCACATCCTGAGCCGCCTGCAGATGCGGGGCCGGCCCAACATCACGCACGCCGTGCCCAAGGCCGCCATGGTCACGGCCCTGCGCAAGCTGCACGCGGGCAAGGTGCGCGAGGACGGCCGCGTGGAGATCCCGCATCTCGACGGCCACGCCAGCCCGGGCGCCGACGGCCAGGAGCGCGTCTCCGAGATCATCAGCTTCGCCGAGACAGGTGGGTCGGGCTCGGGGCACCGTCGGCCGGCCGCGGCCCTGGCGCCCCTCCGCCCCCAGCCCCCCGGCCCCGCGGCCGCCCCGGCTCGGCCCGGCCCGGCCCGGCTCGGGGTGCGTGCGTGCGTGCGTGCGTGCGGGACGGGAAGCGGGCCGCGGGCCTCGCGCGCCTGGCCGTGCGCGCTGCTGTCCCGGGGGCTGCTCGCGCCACCCCGGCCGCAGACCCTCTCGCTTTCAACCCACGCCGAGCCTCCGCTCCCACCAGCCCACCCCCCAGACCCGCAGCAGCAGCGGCGCCCTGTCTTCCACCCGCACCCTTCGGAAATGGGGCCCCGGCGCCTCTGGGCGCGCGTCCCCCTCCCGGCAGGGGAGTGCGGCCCTGGCTCCGCGGGCACTTGCTTGGCGATTGCTTAATGTTTTTGTTTCCCACGATCGGAGTGCAGGCTTAGCAGTGTGGATGGAGATGTGTGTGCTTGTTGATATCCGTGGGCCGGAGGAGTGAGGGAGAGTGTGTGTGCGTGCGTGTGTGTGCGCGCGCGCGCGCGTGTGCGTGTGCGTGTGTGTGTGTGTGCGCGTGTGCCCGCGCGCGCGGCCGGCGAGGCCCCAGGGCCGCTTCCATCCATCGCCCTGCAGCGTGGGCTTGCCAGGATTGCTGAAGCCTCGCTGGGGAGAGCTAGGCAACCTCCCTCCGATTGTGTGGGCGCCGGAGTCGGGCGGAAGGCCGGCTTCTCAACAGGTCCCATCGTTTAGTGCCGCCGAGGAGCGGGCGAGACGCTGCGGGCTCCGGGGGCAGCCCCGTGCCTCCCTCCTCGGCTCGCCTGGCAGCCGCCGCGCGGGCAGCCCCGAAGCTGCAGAGTTCTTAGTTAACAAAGGGTAGGAGTTCTTTCTGGAATTTTCCCTCGGTCTCGGACTGCAAGTATCTGCCACTGTCTAAATGTAAAAATCCGAGAGGGGTGGGGTGGGGTGGGGTGGGGGAGAGGACGATCTTTCCGAACTTTCAAAGGAGGAGGGTCGGGGAGAGAAAATGTGCCGCGGAAATGCTGCTGGTGCTTTCGACTCCGCTGTCCTTTTCAGGACTTGAATGAGCCAGACTGGCTTTTGTGCCTGGAGCTCAGCCCCGTTTGTGCGAGGGGACTGTGGAGAAGGTCGCTGAGGGGGAAAGCACTGGTAGGCGCAGGGCGGGGTGGGCAGGGAGCCTGGGTGGTTGAGTCCTCGTGTCCCCCCACCTCCCCACCCCGCGGGCTGCAGAAGCACCCCCCACCCCACCCCCAGAGGCAGCAGGCTGACTGTGCTGGTGCCGCCTGAGGATGAAAAGGGATGAAAAGTTTTGCATGGCCGGGTGTGGAGAAAAGCAGAGACAATCAGGCTGGCTTGTGCTTAGAAAGAAACGCATTGCCGTTTTAGCGGTCCCACCGAGTCAGGAAAAGGGCGCCGTGCAATTAGAGAGCTTGGATTAAAAGGTGCTTTGGGGCCCAGAGTAGAAATGTGATTCTGGAAGGTCGAGGAGGCCTTTTGGTCCCGGTGGCACAAAATGACAGCAGGGGCTGTTATATTTCTGGTCCGTTTCACGGAGCCAGCTCTTTGACTTATAAATAACAGATTCAGGTCACAGGCAGCTTGTCCAAGACCAGCTTTTAAGGCTGCACTTTCCCCCATTTCAAAGTCAGATGTCAGTGTTATTAGGAAAGCTGAGAGAGGCCTGAGAAGGGGGTTGCCAGGAGGTTGGGGCGGTGGGGTGGGGGTTGGTGGTAGAAGGGCTGATAAAATCGGCCACCGCGGCACAGTTGCCTTATTTGTTCTTCCAGCACAAAAAGAGGTGGGGGGCGGTCGAGGTTGTCAGCAGGAAGGGTGGCCGAGATGCAGGGTGGGAGAGGAGTGTCTCTTGGTTGGCACAGCCTCTCTCGGGGCAGAGCTGAAAGAGCGAAAACCAACCACCGGATGATCCTCTCCTGGCCTTGGAGATTCTGAGTGTGCCCTTACTGGGGAGCAGGAGGTCTCGTCCACGCAGCGGCCCTCAAGTTTCAAGGCTGCGTGCATGTCCTAACCCTGGGAACTCCTGGGGCAAGGAGGGCCGCCCTGTGCAGCCCGCAGAGTGCACGCAGATCTTGCATCGGGGTTCTGAGCAGAGCTCCCGTGTTTGCAATAGAGGTTCTGCTGGGGTTGGCTCAGATCATGCTTAGGTAAACACTAGAAAGAGGAGGTAGGTAGGTAGCTCGGCTTGATTTTGCAATGCCCTAAGTTAACCAAAAAGAAAAAAAAAAAGCCCAAACTCCAGGGAAACGGCCCACCCCTCCAGGCTCTGTGGCTCCTGGTTTTGTTTTTTTCAGATTTTGCAGATACCCATAACAACTTGTTAAGGTCTTGGCCTCTTGACAAGTTCCTCTGTCGAGCTTCGAGGCCTGACAGCCCGTCTCTGGGGAGCCCTGGCCTGGGAGAGGTGAGGGAGGATTTTATAGGCCTGGACCCTCCAGTTCTGACCTGGTCCGGGTTTCTCAGTGGGAAATGATTTCCTCTGCCTCTCCCAGGTTCCCGCCAGAGGCCCTGGCTCCGGGCACGTTATTTCTGCTCTCTACCTAACCTCTTCCAGCTGCGTGGTTGGCGGTGCATTCCAGCCTCGTGCCGCCCAGATCATTGCCTGCCTCACGTTCTTCCCCAAGTTAACCTGGCCTGCTCTCTCCCTTCTCCGCAGATGGCCTCGCCTCCTCGCGGGTCCGCCTGTACTTCTTTATCTCCAACGAGGGCAACCAGAACCTGTTCGTGGTCCAGGCCAGCCTGTGGCTCTACCTGAAGCTGCTGCCCTACGTGCTGGAGAAGGGCACTCGGCGGAAGGTGCGTGTCAAGGTGTACTTCCAGGAGCAGGGCCACGGCGACCGGTGGAACGTGGTGGAGAAGAAGGTTGACCTCAAGCGCAGCGGCTGGCACACCTTCCCGCTCACCGAGGCCATCCAGGCCCTGTTCGAGCGGGGCGAGCGGCGGCTCAGCCTGGACGTGCAGTGCGAGGGCTGCCAGGAGCTGGCCGTGGTGCCCGTGTTCGTGGACCCGGGGGAGGAGTCTCACCGGCCCTTTGTGGTGGTGCAGGCGCGGCTGGGCGACAGCCGGCACCGCATCCGCAAGCGGGGCCTGGAGTGCGACGGCCGGACCAACCTCTGTTGCCGGCAGCAGTTCTTCATCGACTTCCGCCTCATCGGCTGGAACGACTGGATCATCGCACCCACCGGCTACTACGGGAACTACTGTGAGGGCAGCTGCCCCGCCTACCTCGCGGGCGTCCCTGGCTCGGCCTCCTCCTTCCACACGGCTGTGGTGAACCAGTACCGCATGCGAGGGCTGAACCCCGGCACGGTGAACTCCTGCTGCATCCCCACCAAACTGAGCACCATGTCCATGCTGTACTTCGACGACGAGTACAACATCGTCAAGCGGGACGTGCCCAACATGATCGTGGAGGAGTGTGGCTGTGCCTGACGCTGGCCCTGGGCTGCGGCGGCGGTGGGGTGTGGTGGGGACAGTCCTGGAAAGGCTTCTTCCTGCTGCTCCGATGATGACGACCATGACGACGGCGGCGGCGGCGGCGGGAATGGGGCGTGTGGTGGGGCCGAGTGGGGCCAGGGAGAAGAGGACTGAGCTATTTTCTCTCCGACTTCATCGAGCAGATCGGTCGGGACCTGACGGGGAACCCTCCAGCGACACGACATCCTTGCAAACGCACACGTAGACGCGCACAGCCAGACGCATCCTGCCACCCACACAAGCAGCCTCCGGGGTACCAGCAGCAGCAGGTGGATGCGGTGACAAGTGGCAGCTTAGCTACCAGTGCCCATCAAGCGGGAGAGAATGGGGTGAGCGGCCCCCATCCCACCAGCTGGACCAGAACCACTCTGCACCACGCCTTCCTGCACACATCAAAGCACAAAGACAGAGAGACACAGCGCACGGGAGCCACCGCAGGGGATTGGAGATTCAAACTGGTTGTGGGGGGCGACAGACTGAGGACCTCTTGTGTCCCCCTTGGCCTGGCTCAAGGCCCACAGTGCCTCAGCATCTCCTGACTCCGGTGTGGGCCGGGATTCCCTGCCTGGGATCCTTCAGGCAACCCAGCAGCGGAGCCTGCCCTTGGCCCCTCTCGCCTCGGGAAAGAGGCCAGAAGGGACCCACGCTGCCGGCCCGTGGAGCAGTGGCCATGACCGTTTGACTGTTGCGGGGGTTCCCAGGCATGACTTCTATGTGTTTGTTTTTTTTTGGGGGGGGAGGGCGGGGAGGGAGGGGAGAAGGGTCTTCATTTGATGCTTTAACTGATCACTAGCAGTTGACAGGTCATTCCAGTTGTATAAATGAAAAAGGACTTTGCTACCAGGGGGGTGACCTTTTAAGTTAAAATGGGAATGGTTGTGAACGGGAGGAAGAAAGTTGCCATCTGTGTCCTTGGTTAGGGATATTCTTCCAAGGGTGGGGGTGGGGGTGGGGTGGGATGGGGAAATGGCCCCCCCCCAGGAAAGGGGAGGAGGAGGAGCCCGGAGCAGGAAGTGGTGGAGGCATTATGGAAATATTGAGGGGTGGGGAGGTCCCCTCAAGCAAGGGTCCAGAGGGGGGAGCAGTTTAGCTGGCCTTGGGGAGACGGGGATGCTTTCCGCTGCTTGGCAGAAGTGGCCCGTGTGGACCCCAGGCCTCAGGGCCAACCATAGATGTGGCCTCTCCCAGCTCTCCTGCCCACGTGCTCCCCCTAGCCCTTGCCCCACTGCCTGAACGCGCATGATCTCGCGCTTGTCCATCGCCTATGTCCAGAAGGATTCTTGGCAGGGCGCGGAGCCTGCTGCCCCCAGACATCCCAGTGCCACGTGAACTATGCAATTTAAAGGGTTGACCCACACTAGCTGAAACTGGACTCGTACGACTCTTTTTATATTTTTTATACTTGAAATGAAATCCTTTGCTTCTTTTTTAAGCGAATGATTGCTTTTAATGTTTGCACTGATTTAGTTGCATGATTAGTCAGAAACTGCCATTTGAAAAAAGAAGTTATTTTTATAGCAGCAAAAAAAATACAGTTAAATGTATTATACATAATTTTGGAACCAAAGAGGCCAGCAGATCAGTTTTAATTTTTATTAGATGGTGAGGCCATCTTTATGAGGTAGACATTCTGAACAATCCCTTGAGTGGCCTGCCAACGTTTCAGGGTATAAATGGATTTTGTTTATTCAGTTCGATGTGTCTTTTCTATCCTCACACACCCAGAAGGTAGAGTAAAAGGACTGGTTAGAATGCAGGTGTGTATCCTTAAATCCCCATCTTTATGTTTATTTAATAAAGCTCCCCCTTAGGTTCTGTTTCATAATAATTTAAAACCAAACAATTTTTTCCCATAGACTTGTGTTAAAGTATTTTACATTTGTGTACAGTTTAAGAAAATAAAAGATTGGGTGCCATGGGCTTCCTGTCTCGTGTGGTGTGTGGGGAGGAGAGTCGGAGCAGAGGGAGGCAGAGTTGGGGAGGGGCTGAGGGAGACCCCAGGCTCGCTTGCTTCCATGCCAGTTGTCCCCAAAGGCCCACTCTGGGAGTGCTCAGGGTCCTTGCCTGCCCCGCCACACACACACACACACACACACACACACACACACACACACACTGGTGTCAGACTGACTAGAAAAAAATGCTGAAGATCAGAAGGATGAGCAAGTCCCTGAATGACACATGGGTGTCCCCTTGGGGTGCCTCTAAAAGGGCCAGTCAGGTCCCTCCCCGGGAGGGAGGGGAGATCAGCACCCCCCTGTGCTGCTTGTTTCTGACCTTAACTCAGGAGAGGCTTACTCTCAGGGACGGAGAGAGATGCTGGGAGTGCTGACTGTCCTTTCCAGAGGGACAGAAACGGTAGCAGGCTAGAGGAGGCGTTGGAGCAGGTGAGGCCAACCGGGTCACAGGGTGAGGAGAGATCCCCCAAGGTGAGACTGAAATCCCCTGGGCATTTAAGCCCCCTGTGCCTTGTCTGCCCCACCTCTAGGGGTCCTGTAGCCTTAGGCTTTGCCTGCAGCCCCAGGGCCTACCAGGTGAGGCTGGTCCCTGGCTCGAGGGTCACTGGCTCCCTCAGGAGCGAGTGGGACCACAGGAACAGCTACCCTTAGGTAACAGAGAGACAAAGAAGGCTGCTTTGGGGAAGCCTCTGGCGTCTGGCTTTGCTCTTCCCCACCTCCGAGAGAGCCTCGGTCCTGTGGTACTTGTGTTTAGAGGGGGGCGGGGGTGTTTGTTCAGGGGTGGGGGGGAGTACCGGAGTTAAGGTGCTTTTGCCCTGCACACAGCCCACCCAAGCTGCTCCCCCCAGCGCTGCCAGGAATCAGCCCTGAGCACTGTCAGGGGCCATAGCAACAACCAGAAATGAATAGGGGGCTGAGAGGAGAATGCTACGGACACTGGGCCCGACCCGGCTGTCTCGGGGTGTACGTCTCAGCCACAGCCCCTGCAGGAGGAGCATGCTAAGGGCCGCCGAGATGCCTCTGCTGTTTGGACATGGAGCATTCTCCAGGCCCCCTGTTAACATGCACGCCCACCTGAACTGAGCCTACCGGCAGGGTCCCATGAAAGCCCCAGGAGGGGCCCGGGACCCTGAGATGCAGGGGGCCTGAGTGTCACTGCCTCCATGCAGGCCTATGGCCCTGGGCCCGGGAGGAGGTTGTGAGTATCCCTAAGAGGTGCTCTGGGGACTGCCCATGACCCGGGACTGGTGCTCACCTTCTGCCAGGGCCTGGCCCCTCCCGCCCGCCCACTGTGCTCGTGACACCCTTGTTCCTTTGTGCTTCGGTCTTGTATTTAAGAGATTCACAGTGAGGGGTGCTTGGGCTGGGTCACTCCCAGTGATGCCCAAACCCGGGCTTGCTGCTGGCTAAGCAGTGGCTGGGACCGCACTCGGGACCTCACCCACAAGGCCTGGGCGTGCTCTCCCGCTCGGCTCTCTCCGGGCCCTGCCTGCAGCCCTCTCTCCCTTCCCTCCTGTTGTCCTGCCCTGGTCTCTTTCCCCTGGACGGGCAGGGCATAGCCCAGGCGTACAGCCCTTCCTCCACCCCCGCCCAGAGGTAGTGCTTCCAACCTCCTTCCACCTCACCTCGCGTCAAGGCCCTTCTCCCCTCCTTCCCTTCAGACCGCGTTAGCCTCTCTGTGCCCCGTACTGCTCCATCCCAGGGGGGCAGCCAGGAGAGACCGAGGTTCCCACCCCCGCCAGCCCCGAATGTCCCCACCACCCACCCTTCACAGTTCTGGGGTTCTCACAGTTCTGGGACTCTTGCCCAGAGTCCTCAGCCATCGCGGGGGTTGGAGGCTGGCAGGAGAGAAGATAAGTAGGGGACCTTCCCGCCCTACTGCAGATAGTGTTACAACCAACCTCCCCCATTGTTTTTCCCATTTCCCAGATGAGCAAACTGAGGCTTCCAGGAAAAGGAGGTTCCTAAGGTGGTCTGTCCTTTCTCCGCAGTCTGGCTCTGAGCTTGGCTTCGAGGGGAGCCCCTAGTGGGCTTCCTCCCACCCCACCCCCACCCCATGTCAGGGGAGAGGCTGGGTTTGGGGAGGGCTGTTAGTGTGAGGCCCTGGGCTGGCATCCCTGCCACAGCTCCAGGTGAGGACCCTGAAGAGGGGGCAGGGCAGCTCTTTCCCCCCTCCCCCTGCCACACCACCTCCCTGTCCAGCACCTCACCTAGCATGCCCTCTGCCAGGCCTGCGGAGACTCTCGGGGACCCCCAAGGGGTCCTGGTGAGGCATCTCCTCCTGAAGAGGCCTGCGGCCTCCTGGTCAAAGTCGGGGCAGGGTAGGGGGCCCAGAGACTGGGGCGGGGCTAGGGAAAGTGTGCTTTTGCGGGCAGAAATGCAGAAGCAAAGAAGGCCCCAGCAGCCTCAGTCCCACTGGGAGATTTTCTTTTGTTTTTTTTTTTTTCTTTTTGGGTCACACCTGGCAATGCACAGGGGTTACTCCTGGCTCTGCACTCAGGAATCACTCCTGGCAGTAGCTCAGGGGACCATATGGGATGCTGGGAATCGAACCCAGGTTGGCTGTGTGCAAGGCTAACGCCATACCTGCTGTGCTATCACTCCAGCAACGCTCCCCCGCCCCTGCCCTGGAAGACCTTCAATGGGCCCCTTTGAGCAAAGCGTAAGTTACCTGTAGCGCTGAGGCAGGGGCCGGGTCTGCGGGTCTGAAGTGTGTGCGGTTGGGGCCCGAGTGGGGTGAGTGGTTCGGGCAGGCCCGGGTGGGGTGGTGGGTGGGGTGGGGGGCGGCAGGCAGGCAGGGAGGCAGGCCCCGGTTGGCGTGCTCGGCGGAGTGAGTGGGGCGTGGGGGGCGTGGCTGCCAGTGGGAGTGGTGGGTGAGCATGAGTGACGCGCTGTTTTGTGACCGTAGGTGTGACTGTTTGTGTGCTGAGCCGTGTGGGGTGTGAGACGGCGGTGGTGGCCGCGCGTGATTGGCTGGCTGGGAGGTGGGGCGTGTGGCTGACTGAGTGGGTGAGCGTGGCTCCGAGTGGGGGCTCGGAGACCGTGGGACCGAGGGGTGGGGTTGCGAGCTGGCGTTTCTGCCCCTTCTTGCTTTCTTCCTCCTTCAGACACTGCACCAGCCTGCAGCTTGCTGGGCGCTCAGGGTGGTGAGAGTTTTCATTTGGAGCTTACTGGACTGCCCCATGGCAGTGATGGCCCACCTTGGCACCAGATTTGACTGGGAAGCCTGTGTTGCCGCGTGGGCCTGGGGGCTTCAGGTACGGGACCTGCTCAGGTGCCCTCAGCATCCTGTCCCCTGCTTTCCCCACCCCACCAGAGTCCCACATTGTCAGGTGTCCCTGCAGCCCCCCAGCTGAGCCCCTCATGCCCGGTCCATCGCAAACACTCCCCAGGTACCCGCCATCATCTGCTGGGAGGTCATTCACACACCATCTGGGTCAGTCCTTGCAATGGATAATGGGTGGAGGGGGGAAAGGGTTTCATGCCCATTTCATAGAAGAGAAAATTAAGGCAGAGAGCGAGGAAGCTACTCACTGATGGCTGAGCTGCCCTTAAGTCAGAGCTGAATTTGTGCATCCCCATTTGTCTCCAAGGTCCCAGTACGTGTGACCGGAGCTGGCCAGAGTTGGGGCAAGGGAGCTGCGTCTATTCAGGACTTTTCCTGGAAGAGAGGAGCAGGTGGACTCAGGGTATCGGTCAGGAGGGGATGTCTGCCACTCTCCTGCCCGTGACTTAAACTGAGGAGTCGGGGGCATCTGACCTTATCCCTGTGGCGGGGCCACCTCCACATCATGCCCTGTCCTCAAGCCCTGCCCAGCCAGGTGGGTTCCATGGAGTAGACAGCATTGGGCCAGGTAGGGGGCCCCAGGGGCAACGTCCCGCTCCCGCACTCTCTTCACTGAGAATCAGCCCTGGGAGCGGGCGCTCAGGCTACCATCTGGCTGGCTGGCGCGCCCTGTCCGGCACATCATGGGGCCCAGAGTCTCCGGGGAGCGTGAGCATGAAGGTGCTTAGTTGGAGGCCGGCAGGTTCTGGGATGTTTTAGTCCTTGTCGTCATGCAGCTGGAGGTCGGGGGGGGGGGGGGGAGGGATGTGGGAAGGGGAGCGAGGAGGTGGGCTGCCCAGCCAGAGCTCATCTTCCCCTCACAGAGTGTTCCTGCTTGTCCTCACCTGGACCTTGGCCATAAGGCCTTGTGTGTGCTGACCATCAGGCTTTCCGTCCAGCCACTCCTGGCCTCGCATCCCAGGGAGTGGGGGGCAGCAGGAGAGGGTTCCCAGGTTGGGAAGCATATGCCTTGCTTGGTGGTCTCAGATTTGTCCCTAAGGCTGCCACATGGGCCACTTCCCCACACAGTGACTCCCTGGCCTGGAGCCCCCGGGAACAGGGTTGTGGAATGGGGGAGAAAGTTCCTTTAGGTAGAAGGCATCAGGGGGCATCAGAAAACTGGCCTCCAGAGCCCCCCAGTTCTCCTCCTCCCGCCCCCATAGGGGGCACCAGAGCTTCTGCTTTAGGGCGTGCCTGGCACGGAGCTGGCCTGTGTGAGTAAGTGGGGAGTGGGGCCGGCCGGCACCCCCCGGGAACGTGGGAGCAGCAGCCAGGGAGGTGGCAGAGAGGATGCCCCCTACCTCCCACATTTCCAGTGGGGGAGGGTTTCCAGAAGGATTCTTGGACTCTCCAGCGGAACAGCCATAGCAGAGCAGAGGCCGAGGGGAGGCCGAGAGGATGATGGGTGCCCTTCACTCCTGCCAATCCCCTGCAGGAGCGGCCTACACTCCTTCCTTCCATCCCAGGGGCCGGGGCTGAGCCTGGAGGTGCCCCGGGGAACCTAATCCTAACCGCTGGTGTGCTGGGACGCAGAAGCAGGTAGGGTGCTAGGCGGACGATGCAGGTGGGCTCAGGCAGCTTCATGCAGCTGCGCTGGTTGGGCTCTGGGGGGCTCCTGGTCCCCGCTTTCCTCTTGT